CTTATGTTGGTCTCGATTCAGGATGATTTATTTCCCTACTAGTAGCGGTTTCATACCTTACAGGGAGGCCCAGAGATTGTAAGTTATCTGATTAATTCATAGGTGTTAGAAGTGATTTACTGAGCTACAATTTTGTTTTCAAATTTTAAACAATTAAGATGATTATATTAATAAAATTTAGTTTTTTTTTAGTATCTTCGGCTTTTTTTCTTGTTATATAATTTCTATAGAGCAAATCCAACAATATATCAATAGAAATAAATTAAATTTATTGAGGAGAGGGCCTCAATAACTATAGCTTTTCCATATTTGTTCACATTATAACCAAAGCTTAATTTGTTGCAATAATTTGTGCAATATAATGTTGCTGAAAGCTGACATATTCTAATACTGCTTCAGAATCGGAGGGTAAGCGTTCCCGGACCAGTTACACCCGCTACCAGACTCTGGAGCTGGAGAAAGAGTTTCACTTCAACCGCTACCTGAGCCGCCGCAGGCGCATAGAGATCGCCAACAGTCTGTGCCTAAACGAGAGGCAGATCAAAATCTGGTTCCAGAACAGAAGGATGAAATGGAAGAAGGACTCAAAGATCAAAGTAAAGGAGTAAAACAGGCGATGCAGCACTTTTTTTTTTCTGCAGCCCTACACTTGCACAGCAGTGCTGGAGTTGCTCGCTTGACCTACGGATGAACCGCTAAGGAGCAATGACATCATGACACGGCTCTGTGTGCTTCATCACCAATTATGTGTCACTTTCTGCGGTTTGGAACCTAATGTATTGAATATCGCTCACTATGATCAATCGGTTTACATTTCTAAATTAATTTGCTGCCTATGCGATGATAACCCCACTTTACTGCGCAAAAAGCTGGGCTCTGGCGGGAGCTGGGTCCTTCAATGCTTTTGACCCGCATTGCGCTTGAAAAAGCTGCACAACGTTATTAATATGTGTTCATAGTAAAGGGGACAGAGTAATGACTGAGAGTTCATCATTTCCAACTTCTTAAGCGTGTAATTAAAAAGTAAGGTCCATGAGTAAAAAAATAAATAAAATAAAATCGGTTAGGTTGAAAACTGTTTTCCTTCTTCGTCAAATAAATCAGGATTTTGTCTGATGTGTTTAGTGTGCAGTTTGTCATCCATGTTGTCTGTCATAACTTTGTGAGTGTGTTTGATAACACTGAAATGTGCAATGCAGCATTATTTGTTTCCCATAGTAAACTACAGGTGCCTGATGCACACAAGGCCTGATTGATGGCCAGTTTGTTGATTGTAACCAATAAAATCATTAAAAATAAGACACTTTTTTGTGAGTATTATTTTTCTCTTAATATCTGAGATCCATTGCAAAAAATAGTTACGTACTTCAGACATTTTTTTCTTCACATTTTGTCCACTGAATAAAAATGTAACTCTCATTTTTCAAATGAAATTTTGTTTGTTTTGTTAGGTATTCTCAGAGACCCCAGAATTTCTCTGGTTGACAAACGCGCTCTGAAGTTTAAGGCCCCCCTCATAAAACTTTATTGCCCCCTTTTCCAGCACTCTGCAGGAACACTCGGCTTCCTGTTTTGTCAGGGGATGAGGAAGGGCCACACCAGCCTGTTAGAACAACACAACAGTGGATGCAAAGCTCGGCTTCCTGTGGCCGCACACAGACACTTCTTTGGGGGCATATGGTCAGACCTGCTTCAACCCTGTTTCATTACATTATAGTTAAAATACCACTTAGCAGCATTTGATGTCTCAGTTCAAGTGATGCAGCGTATCCTGAGAGGCAATCCCCATCTTTACTTAAATAAAATAAAAAAGCCAACTCACCTTTAAAACTAACAGCCTCCTGTATGATCTCCCCTTATTTGAACCGGTCTACTGCAGCGTCCACTTTCTCTGCGCTCTGTTGGGGCCTATAAACCTTAACGTGAGAGCATGCATTCAAGCTTTCTTTTTGGGGATTTTAAAGTTTACAAGGTTACAAATGCCAATTGCCCCAAGCAGGGCCTGTGAATGGTGCGTGAGAAGCACGTGGTGTCGTTTAAGTGGGTTTTATGGCCTGGAAGAGCTGACAAACCTTCGATATATACACATCATATATAATCTTAACTGTCCGGAATCGCAGCTGCTGGCTTCCCCCTTATCGGAGTAGGAAAGGGCTTTGTGGTAGTGGCAGAGGATGCAGTACCTTTCTCCGGACTGTGGAGCGGAGCGAAGGGCTGAGACCTGCTGCTGCAGTAAGTTATTTCAACTTTACATACTGCTTCGGGTTTGTGCAGTCATATCGCTCAAAATATTCTTTTTTTTTTGTGCGCGCGCGTGTGTGTGATTGAGTTACTTTGAACGCATGGATTGACGATATAAACATAACTGAATTACCTGATGACGACTCAGCGGAGCTGTGATTCAATACCAAAGATTAGAAAATGCTCGCCGGTTTATGTTTTCAAAATGATTTTTGAAACAAATACGAGTGTGTTAAAAATAACATCAGAACAAGAGCTTTTAAGTTCTTACGTTGCCCTACTCCACATCTGCTCGCAATATTCCCATGCAAATGTTAACTTGAACATGTCTGTTTAATTTAAATAAAAAAATCTTGAAACTTTGATAAAATGAAGCAGTGCTGTGGAAAAAAACGAGTATTTGCCCTATGTTTATGTTTAAATGGCGTTAGGATCTTTATTTTTAAAAATTAGGAATAAGAGAGAAGATCCACTTTAGTGCTCAATTATAACTGTCAACAATTTTAAAGTTGATCTTGTTCTCTATGTCTGAAGTATAACATGAAGTGGAGGATCAGTACACAATCATTTTGAGGAGCAAGGTTAAATTTGCTGCTTCATTATACTTCGTAGTAGAGAAAATAAAATAAAAATCGCTATAATTAATTTCCACACTTCACGTTACAGTTGCATCACGTTCATAAACCTAAAGCCAAGAATAAAAGTCTATTTCATTTCAAGATAGGCCTAAATGTGATTAAAGCTAATTATTCATCTACATTAATTTGTTATTGCAATAAATACAACAAAGTAATGTCAAGAGAATATGCAGCAGATAACAACACAGAATGCTGCAGTTTTATTGTCAAAAACAGAAAAACACATACTGCATCCTGCGCACTAATCCGCCCACTGACACATCCACTCAATACATAAAATTTCGTGAGGAGAAATATCTGTAGCATGATTTAAAAATTGTATCAATTTAGATTTAACTGTGTAGCAAATTAGGGGCTAATTATCCAAAAAGATGCATGATAATTGTACTGTTGTTTAGCATGCTGCAGTCGTTTAAGGGAGAATGGGCGTTGTTGTTGGGTTTTTTCACCTTGTCACAGCGGTCTTTTGTGTGTCACGGCCGTTTTCTCACCACACAGGTTCTCGGATCTCATTTTTAGTAACACAGTTTGACTGTGAACTGAAAAAAGAATAAATATTTGCACATTTCCCACCATTTTAAACCACACAAAAAACCCATACCAGTTTGATTAGCTTGAAAACTAATGAGACAATGCCTTCTTATGACCTTAATAGTTTTCTGTTGCTCTGTTGGAGACATCATTTAATCACCCATATGCCTAGGCAAACAGCTCCGCCTACAGAAACAGCTTCCTCTACTCCTAATCAATGTGTGGAGGTGCTATTATTTCACATCAGAGCTCAAATTGATTAGTTTTCACATTTACAGGATGCTGTGGTTACAAATACTTTTTTCTGGTCTGTTTTAGTTGCCGTTGTATTAAATGTGTTGCGGTGGCTGAGCCGAATATACCTTATTTCCATTTCTGAAGGTACATTTTGCTTTCAGGTGTGCAGGGTCAACTGTGCTATTTCAATAGGGGGCACTGTGTAACATATCCTCCCGTGTGAGTGTGGCTGTGCAGGGGGCATTCGAAATGTTTTGTTCTCTGTGTTGTTTTGGTAAAAAATTTATCATTTAGAAAATGTCCAGAAAAATTTGCATTAGAAAAAGAATTTGCAAAGGAGTGGGCTTCCGTTTCCCTAAAATAAATATTTTGTTATCTCTCGTACACCTCAAATATACTGTATACACATTCTAGGTATATAAAGCGTTTTTTATTTGAAGGGATTCTTGAATAAAGGCTAGGTGCTAGAGGAAAAAAAAAGTTTCAAATCTTCATTTTGAAAGTGAAACTGGTCTGAATATCCGCTTTCACTGCCATGTTCTGGGCTGGTGTATTCCTTTCTCTGACCTGTGGAACCGACACTGTCATCCTTCAATCCGCAGAGGTCATTTCCGGGTGAGCACAGACTTCCCTTTGTCTGGAACTCGAAAAAGAGTCAGATATCTCAATTGCAAAATTTCAGAGCAGAGACTGATTTTATTTACAATGTGAAGACAAAGTCGTGTTTCTTTTTTATTGACTGTTCGCCATAATTCAGAGGCGCTGAAGTCCAGGGAATTCTATTCATAGTAGCTCTTGCCCAAGGAAATGCCAAATTGCTTGTAAAGTTTTGTTTTATCGTCTGAAAACGATCTGTCTTAAATCCTTTTCAGGGTCTCTGTTCTGCAGGAATTCGAACATTGCGCATATTTTGCACAGTCTCCCTTCAGAAATGCGTGAATATTAAACAAAATGTTGTAATAAAAATTAGTAGTTGAAAATAAGTGCGGAACTAAATTAATTTGTAAATTAAAGTTTGACATGGTTTGTTTTCAGTGATTTTATTACGTTTGATATCTACAATTCTATCGGTTTTTATTATGAAGATTATTAACATTTATCTCATAATTTCCACATAAAGATCAAACTTTTACAACCAGGCTTTTACATCTATCTAATAACTTTCCAAATTAACCTACCATTATAATCGTTAAAATAGATAGAAATAAAATATAAATATTTAAAAATTTGCTTACTACAACGTGCCTGATAGAATAATTATGTAATGTTGCAATGAAGATCAGTGTGGCATTTTCCTGAATATATTTTTAACAATTTATTATATTTATATGCAAGTCATGTGCTTTGTTTCAGACATTTCACTGGGTGAAAATGAGAGCAACTGTGGATGTTAAAGTAAGTCTCCTCGTTTGATTTCAGGTCAAATCTGTATCTTAACAGAGACATCTGTCATTTGGCTGAGGGCAAACAAATTTTCGATCAGAGTTTTATGATGCCTGAAAGTTTAATAAGTTCAGATTTTTGTATTTATTGTTATCATTCCTATTTAGATCAGCTTATATTTTGTTGGGTTTTTTTTGTGTTTTTTTTTTTAGACATATAAACAAGGGTTTTATACACAGTACAATGAAAGGCACTTCCAGTAGCCTACATGTTGTTTCTATTTAAAGCAGAGGGAGGATGTTTTGTTGCAGCGGAGGCTGTCTTTATTATAATATTACAATTATTCTAATGAGCCATAGTACCGCAGTGGTTTATGTTGGGGAATCCAGTTTCTAAAAATCACCTTTGCTCCCCTGGCGGTCGCTTTATACCAGCATTCACAGCCAACTGGTCTCCAGTCTGTCTGCACTTCATTAAAACTTTTTATTTTAACTGGACTATCCCGCCTAATGTTATTACACCTGGGGAAGGTAAACGCGTGGAGGCCATTACATTAAGGGTTTGATTAAAAGCGCATCGTAACCATTTTCATTAGGGAGCGAGATATTGCTGCAGTCTCTGAATTCAGGTCAAACAACTGGACAGTGAATGTGAAAAAAAGGATGAAGGACCTGCAGAATTTTGATTAATTCTGTTTACATGAATACTTGTGTGAACACGCGTGTAAAAAGGTTGTTTTTCGGGGGGAGTTGGGGGGGGGGGAGTAGTGGTGGTGGAGAAATCTTAACAATCCCTCAAATGAATAAATGAAACATCAAATTAATCCGCCTGAGGGTCTCATTTTTTTGTACTTCTACATTATAACTAGTTATTGAACTAGGTGCACGATCTGAAAGCCATTTGTGAGGAGAGAAAGAATTCATTGCTGTCTCTCCATCAATAATCCTTGGCAGTGAACTATTGGAAGCAGTCATACGCGAGGGGTGAAACGCGGGTCAGGCTGTCTAACTAATATTAAAATGCGCTCGCCATGAGCACATGGGGCGAGAGGGAGTGCGTGGTGCTCACATTGGCTGGGTGCACCACAAAATCATGTGTTTAGATGAAAACTCGACGCAGCCAAACGGGCACGCTTTCTTATTGTTTTATCTTATGAGGAACTCAGTTTTATTGATTGATAAAAAATGGGAATATACTTTAAAATATGCTAATGAAGTTGTGTTTTTATACTCACTTTGTGCTTTTCTTTTGCGATTAGTTCAATTGATTCTCAATCTGAGAATGTTTGCTGTTTTTAATAACCCCCCCTAAACAGGTCACATGTCCAACGTTGCATTTTTCATCCAAGGATTTTCTCATTAGCTTCTATGGTGTCAGAAGGAAAGGTTACCGAGCGGTCAGTATGGTAATGGCGAGTAGAAGAAATGGTTGGGAACAATAGAAACTTATTTTTCATCTGCTCCTGTCACGCCGTCCTTTTGTATTCTCCGTGTTTGTGGCTGAATATTCATATAGGAGCCACCTCAATGCAGAATGCAGAGAAAGGAGAGCCTCTGTATTCCCTGTGTAAGCGTATACACGCGTGTGTGGGGGTGTTTGTGTGTGTAGATTATTTTCAGGGCGGAAAACAAAAAACAAAAAAATAAAAAACAAACAAATAGCTGTGTGCGTTGCTTCCCACATGAAAAGCATCAGCTTTTACGCACGCTTTATGTGATTGTTCTGCTCAATTGCCGTATTGAAATATATCTGACAAAGCATGCCTCATTTATAACCTGCTTGCACCGATGTTTGCTCAACAGTTCTTCTCTCCAGCCCCAATCTGAAAGCACATTAGTTGTCTATATGTACCCTGTAGAACCGAATTTGCGTGCTGCAAAAACAATCGCAAATACGTCTCTACAGGAATACATGGGCAACTGAAATACCACGCCAGGCAATGGATTGCACGTCACTCTTGTTCTCCTCTCTGTTCCCTTTTTCTTGCTTCTGCATATACAGGAAACATCAGCAATGATCCTTACGACCGAGCAATGTAACATTGCAATAACGCTGTCACGGAGTGTATTCATTGTCCACACAGATCCGCACTTTGTAGAGTTAGCTGTAGAGGCCACAGAGTAAGGGAGTCCTGTAAGCAGTGCGCCGCTACTACTGTGTCAGAGCCTGTAAAACACGCCGGGAACCAGGGGTCGTTTAGAAGTGACTGATTTACGGCTTTTATTGCTCTATAAAACCCCTCTAACATCCTCGGTAGGGGTAATAGAAATGTCGTGCGCATTCTTTACAAACAGCACAGTCAGAGTTATGATATGCAGTTTTCACATCGTTTTTAAACTTATTATGTAATTATGGCTTTGGAAATAGATCCCCTGGCTTGCAGAGTAACCAAAATACTGACCTATATCTATTTTCAGTATCGACCTAAACCTATTATTATTATTATTATTATTATTATTATTATTATTATTATTATTATTATTATTATTATTATTATTATTATTATTATTATTATTATTATTATTATTATTATTATTATTATTATTATTACTATTATTATTATTATATTGGGAGTTGGAAGTTGTCTGAGAAGAATGGCATGCCAAGTTTACTCAGGCTTGCAGCATCAGTTTACAACATAAAAGGCGACCACAAGTCATGTGGCTCATGGTCAGAGCTTTACCCAGGATTAACAAACTAACAGCTGAGATGAAATATTACCTTATGCCAAACATTTAGATAGCTGAAGTAGGAGAATTAAATATGGTTTTACTATTTCAGCTCACTGTCATGTATGTTTAGTGATGTCATTTTACTTTACATCTCCCTTAATTTCTTGGTGAGTTATGAGGTTATGTCATCGGGGATGAAAGTTATTTAATCACTATGTCTGGACTGTTGAGGTTCACATCATGCATAGTATAAAATGAGTCAAAAAGAGCAGGAAACAATACGCAAAGTACAGTTATGAGTCCTAAGATGTTTTTTTTATTACTCTAGGCTCCTGATTGCAGCTGTCTCACCTGCAAAACCACATTTAACCTAGTCATTACAGGTAAATCAATGGTGTATATTGTTATGATACATAAAGTGATTGGGATTCTATTTCCCATGTTTCAATCATGCCTAACGTCTGACTTTATATTTATTACTGTCAATGCTGTATGCTGTGTGGAGCTGCAGTCTGGCTTTGTAGTTAAAAATTGTGAGCTTTGTTAAAATAGGTTTAATCTTATGTTTTGCAAAAAGTTGTGGTTGGTAGCTTGTTGCATCATTAGAAAGCAAGCCTTCATATCATAAGTCCATATCATAAGTTTGTTTTGATGAAAATAGTAAACAATAGAGCATGAATGCTAAACACCTTAAAGACACTGTGCAGTGCACAGCAAAGCTTTTCTTGCAGCTTTGCAGGCCTACATGGCTTTTCAAATCCAGTTTATTTCTGATCTGTAGAACCTTTTTCAATTGAACTTGCCAAGACTATTTCAATTTTTCATTGTCGTTCTTTCTAATTTCAAAACATAAACCAATGCCTAATCATCTGGATTAATATCATATAGTGGAAGTAAAAGACATGAAAGTGACAAGTGCAAAGTTTTCCTTCTTTTCTGTGTGGTGTCTCTTTTGTCACACTCTTATCCAGTTCCTATGAATGATCTGATTCATAGGAACATCTTCCAAGCATCTCACATCACCTGCACTGCAGTGAAACCAAAAAGCAATTAAAGATCTGAATTCATATAGCTTTTGCAGGAACTCTCAGAAGCTTGTATAACTCTTAAGAGCATAACATTTGAACTAAAAAATGTACTGATGAATAAAAAAACAGCTGAGCAATAGTAACAGTTTTTTTTTATCAAGAAAGTAAGAGTTTTACAAATAGAGTAAAGATAAAAAGAATGGTGAGTGTTCTTTTTTTGTTTTGAGGTGATTAGGGATATTATAACCAATTAAGGAGATTTGAGCTGGTGCTGATCAATGCAACAGTATGGCAGTATAGGGACATTTTGAGAGTTTGTTGCAAGAAGTATTCTATATTTTCCAATTGAATGCTATATTGTAAACTTTTGTGAGGTCCTAAGAAGTCCTTAATAGATTAAATACTTGGACAATACTTGCACAAGTACTAAATAGACACAGGTTATCTCTACTAAGTTTTCCATTACATTTTTACTGTCTTATTTGATTAAACACATGTTTTCTTCTATTTTCCTTTTATATTTGTTTGTTTGATGCTTAAATAATCATGTTGAAAACCTCTCATACCAGCAAGCTTCCATCTTATTGAAACTCTGCTTTATTTACCTACCAGCATTTCATATTCTTTATGAAAACATTTATTTAATAATCTTGATTGCCTTAAGATGTGGATGTTAGTATGCTGACTGTAATCATCATGAATTATATGCTGTAAATGCCTTTATGTTGTAGCATTACTTGCTTAGGTTTTGTAAGCAAGCTATATACTAAGTTATTATAAAAATAAGTGCAGATACTATTTTGTAATGATATACTAAAATAACCTAAAAAGATTTAACCTCCATAATATTTCAGTATGGTTGCTTTTGTGGCGAATGCTGGTTATTTGCACGTGTTTGCTTTTAAAGCAGGTTAGATTCCCTCATGATTAAATAATGGTTTAAAAACAAACAGCAAAAAGCTGACTAATATACCTTGTTCATATACCTTTAGTGACAAAATGAATATCAAGAGGATGTTTTCATTTTTCAAAAAGGTTCAGCTTGTGGCTTTAATGGCCTTTAGTCTGTGTCCCAGCTGAATTGACACTGATAAAGAAAGCACCTTCAATAATTTGCAGATAACCTTTATGCAAGGTCTGCAAGCTAAGAAAATTATCAGTACTCTTTTGTTTTGCTTTATCCTGGGCCAACCATTGTCCCTTTGAATAATTGGGAGCCACAGAATTTGCCAGTTTTATCTTTTTACTTGGTCAGCAGCTACTAGTTTTGTCCCCAAGATCAATTGCCTTGGTAACAAAACCGGAGAGAGGGAGGAAGGGGGAAGAAGAGCAAAAAAAGGAGGGATAGAGAGACATAGGCAGAAAGGAGGAGAGAGAGCGCGCTTTGTGCCTACAATGGCGTCTGTAGGTATGCTAAATACCTCTGGTTCCTTATCCGGGAACTACCTCTTCCTCTGCTATTGGGCCATTGGGTCACGTGGTTAAAGTAACTTTACAGGGCTGCTCGCAAGTAGGAGGGCTTTATGGAGCAGAAAAACGACAAAGCTAGAAAAATTATTTTCCACTCCAGAAATTAATGATCATGAGCTCGTATTTGATGGAGTCTAACTACATTGATCCGAAATTTCCTCCATGCGAGGAATATTCGCAAAACAACTACATCCCCGAGCACAGTCCAGAATATTACAGCCGCGCAAGGGACACTGGCTACCAGCATCACCACCAGGAGTTATACCCTCCTCCGCGGGCGAGCTACCAAGAGCGCCAGTATAACTGTGCAAGCATCCCCGAGCCCGACACGCCGCGGGGACACGGAATACCCCATTCTGCGCACCTGCTGACGGGAAAGGGCCAGCCTGCGTCATGTGAGACCCCACAGTTGTCCATGTCCCCCGCCACCCCACCGGCCGCAGCTTCCGCCTGCAACCAAGCCACCCCGGAGCATCCCAACAGCACAGTCTCCTCCAAACAGCCCGTGGTGTACCCCTGGATGAAGAAAATTCACGTCAGCACTGGTAGGCAACTTGTGGTGTTTATGTTCCCCTCTGCTCTGCTCATGCTCCTCTCTCCCCTTCTTCCCTCCCTTTATCAAGCCCCTCTGACTCCCATCTCGTTGCCAGCCCCTGCTCCGATAGCAGGGAAGCCTTTGAAATGGCACAATTGAGGCGGATTTACGACTCGGCATTGGTAATTACACCCACCATAAATTTTATAGCCGAGGTATACTCAGGGCAGCCGTATCACCATGTGGCTTCTGCTGTTATGTATTGCGAGATAGAGGGAGAGGGGGGAGAAATGAATAAGAGAAGAGAAGGGGAAGAAAAAAAATCTGAGCTTTGTGATCTTGCATTAATAATTTAGATCATGGTTGGATGTGAGTGTCCTCTCATTATGCGGAGAAGTTCTTAACTTCCCATTTAAATTTCCTCAAACAGCTAAACATTCGTGTCCAATAAATCTTTTGAGCCATATCTCACTTTGTTTACCCCCTCCTTTTCTCCCTTCTCCTTCTACCCTTTCTCTCCACATCTCCCCCTTTTTTCCTCCCAGTGAACTCTGGTTACAATGGGACGGAGCCAAAGCGGTCTAGGACAGCGTACACCCGGCAGCAGGTCTTGGAATTGGAGAAGGAATTCCACTATAACCGGTATCTAACCCGGCGGAGACGCATAGAGATCGCGCACACCCTGGTGCTCTCTGAGCGACAGATTAAAATCTGGTTTCAGAACCGCAGGATGAAATGGAAAAAGGATCACAGGCTGCCGAACACCAAAGTGAGATCCTCCTCCTCTTCTTCCTCCTCCGGGTCCAACACAGGCTCTGCGGCCGGTGGAGTCACCACTGTCTCGGCCACCAACACTGGGGCCCCTGACGAACTCACCGGATCACAGCATGGCGAGGATATTACCAGGTTATAAAAACCACGAACCAGACACCTGGGTTACACGGAGAACTGGTTATTTATAGAACAAGGATATATTTTGTTTTCGTAGCTATCTTGTGCGGTTTCCTTTAAGTCCAAAGTTATATAAAAATGCATGTTATATAGCATGGATTACTGCGAATACCGATGGTTTATTTTTTACGTGAAACAGGGTTTAATTTATTTGAAGTTCGTTTATTATGATGTTTTTTTTATTAAAATGAAGGAGTGAAAATAGAAAAAAAACAAAACAAAAAAACCAAAAACAAACATTTTATCAAAACGATATTGTGGGCAATTTTTTTGTCCAGCTGCCCAAGGTAAAATGCACAATCTATTTATTTCAAACGACACTGGAAGGATATCACTATAATAATAATTATTATTTTGATATATAAAAAAATGCTTGAACACGGCATTGGTTCTGAACATGTATGTTTAGGATATCAACAATGTGTGAATTTACCTCGTGTATTTCAGAAACAGGATTTTGATCTGAATTTTGAGTTGTTGTTTTATTATTATCATTATTATTTGTGGTGTTGATGTTGTGTTTAGACCGTTACAAAGCAGATTATTGTGAAATGCAATAAACGGAGTTTAGTGTTCTTGTGCTAATCATTTTGGTCAATAAAAAGCGAGTGTCTACTAGTTTTAAAAACGTATGATCGAAGTTCATTTTAGGCGAGATAAGATGGAAGGGTATTCAAAAACTGTACAAATGTCTGAATGATAAACAGACTCACTTTTTCTGACTTTTCCCTCAGCCTTCAATTAACAGCGTGTAAAGATATGGAGGGTGCGCGTGTCTGTGTGTATGTTTGCAAACTGAATGCTTGTGTATTGTGTACAGCCTCACTTGTAATAGAATTTTCTCTTTCCAAAAAAATATGGAAAAATAAGCTGTGTGCTCCTTACATGTGGTGCAACCTCATCAGTCTGAAGGGCATTCAATTAGCGCTGCAGACAAGCTACTAAGGGCCCCCTCCAGTCCACTTGTGCACTGCTCTCTGCGAGTGCTACAAAATGAAGCCCAATTTGACTTCAAGGCCAAAATGCATGCTTTTAATTTAGAGCTTACATTTTTAATGTGTTAGAGCTGATAGATGCTTGTAACATAGCTATTTTGTAACGCACACAGTCGCCCTGCTTTTTCTATGCTGTTCATCTGCGCCATGTGACTGGGTTTTCACATGTGAAATAAATACAATTTAAACTAAAAAAAAAAAAAGAAAGAAAAAACTGATTGCAGATTCAGTGCAGTGCATGGTGTGGTGTGAAATAAATCACAGCGAAGATGCTGGCCTTTGATTGACCGACACTGGCCTGTGGTACGGGGAGGAGTGTTAATGGTCATTTACTTCTGCACCTACATGTGCCTGTATGTGCATAAGTAAAATACATCCAAATAAATATGAAATAGATAAATAAAAATAATATATATACACACTCCGGAACTTTCTACGTTTCATTAAACGTAATATTTTGTAGACGTGATCCTTCTTTTATTTTTTCTCATTGCATTTTTTTTTTTTTTTTTGCTTTTTGTTATTTTTTGTTGTTCATGTTTTTAAGACAAATGAAGTTTAAGCATGACTCAAATCCAAAGAAGCGCGTGCATTTGATAGATTATTGAAACTGTGGCATGAATAGGTCCTATAAAATGCCTTGCGTAGTGGGAGGCACAACAACACAAAGAGAAGAGGTATTTTCCATCATCAATCTTGCACCACAGAGCTTTGTATAATGTCCTGGAAAACAGCTGTGGTGATAGCCAGTTTTGATAACATCGAATGTTATGTACCAGCCAGATTAACTCGGAAGTATAAGTGCAAATGCGGGACTGGATTCTTTAAATTCTACTTATTTTAGTACAAGCAAAAATATACTTGTTCTAAAATACAACGTTGAGACTTGGCTATTGGGGAAGCCAGTAGAATGGTGGTGAGACGGCTCTGAAAAATGAATTCGGGGGCCTTTATGTTGTTGGACAGATTGGAGAAATTAATGTGCTCTCCGCAATCGCAGCATCCCTCCAGCCCCTTTTCTCGGCCCTGTCGCCTCCGTGTCGCGGGGCTTGAAAAGGTGCTTCAGTGAAGTTTGGGGGCGGGGGAGAGATGGGAGAAGGCCGAGTTCACCTCGAGGACACATTTTCTGTTCCATTAGGCGCATTTCAGTCTGGATGGCCGACCTCTCCAACCCTGTGACCTGACTTACTTTCTATGCGTGTACCTTCTGTGTTCAACCTCTTCGGTCCTCTCTTGGCCTCGGCTTTCTTTGTGGATTTTCCTGCGTTGCGCCTGTATAGAGGGGGCCTGTGGTGGGGAATCACTGCATGTGTTGATCCCTTTGTTATGGACGGTGATACCAGACAGCGTTGAACCCTCGGACAGTGCTCCTCTCTGCATCCAGAGTGCCTGCATTACTAAACCTGCGCCTTCTCTTCTCAATGATCAAGTTATTACACATAAATAATGTAAAATAATCTATAATCCATAGGCATATAAAAATATCACTTCAGATTATGTCTTGAAATGGCACAATTTGGATATATATTTCTGCTGTGGTGATGATTAGCGTTCTCTGAGGTCTCATAAAAAGGTGCGGCTATAAATAGTTTCATTTGCTGTGATCATGTGACTTCTGTTCCCTGGATGGCTCTTGTGTCCAAAACTCAGCTGCCAATTATAGGCGTTTTTGACAGTACTAGGACAGTTGGTCATTGTGATTAGTTTATGAACAAGGACATTCAAGTTCTTTGCTTTTTTTTATTTTTTTATTCTCAAAAACACCTTGAAAACTTTCCAATGAGAACCCAAGTAATATATTAAAGTAAAAGAGAACAACTGCATTATACAAGTTACAATGATATATATATATATATATATATATATATATATATATATATATATATATATATATATATATATATATATATATATATATATATATATATATATATATATATATATGCAACAAAGGGATAAAGAGGATTAAATGCCCAAAAGTATCCTTAATTCCTCCCTGGTTTTGTAAGGAAATTGTAAATTCAAGCGATTCTTAATATTGGGATATTTTTTCATCAGTTCTAACAGTTTTGATAACTTGCCATTCCTTCTGAGGTACATTTGAAGATAAAAAAAAAAGAAAAGAAAAGATGGTGTTCGACATTTGTGAATATTGATGGAAATATGCTGGACTGCATGTATTACAGAGGTAAACAGATGTCAATGAAAGCCAAACTTACATGTTTCTGTGTTAGTACGGATCTGACCTTTCTTCCTCCCCACCATGTCTTGGAGGTTACAGGTGGAGCTCAAATTACATTCCGAACATCGGAAACATCATGCAGCTTTTGTTTGAGCTCTTCTTTTGAAATATAGAAAGCATTCTTAAGGCAAGTCTTAAACTAGTTTTTCAAAAGGACCAAGAACGGGGATGGTGATGAATTTGTTCAATATGAAAACAGTGACATTTTAAAGATACTTCAACAAATAATCACATAATATATAATTGTTATGATCATAATTTTAATAATCCTGTCAAAGATTCATCATCTTACTGAACATTGTGAGAATACTTACAGACACCGTTATTTTTGTTAATTTCAAAATAAAAAACTGGTATTTTTTTCCTTTTATTAAGACTATTTCCACAAACATGTTATCAGTACGGCCTAGAAACGTTAAACTTAGTCATGTTGAAGGGTCCTATTAAATAAAAAAAATCTAATCAAGGAAATGTTCTGTCTTTATTCTAAGAAGTGAAATATTATCGTGTAAACACAGCTTAGGACATTTCACGTTTAGGATTTCCTCTGTCTGAATTTGTTGTGATCTTGCAAATTCATGATTGTTTCCAGCCCGATGAGCGTGTAAGATTGTGATACGTTTTTGTGTCTTCGGAGTTCACTGTTTAAATTCCTGAGCAGTTACTCAGCTCCAATCGGTTTATTCTCTGACTTGAGACTGTTGAATCACATATGATTTTCAGCTCACATTGCACCGCTGCAGGCTCTCTGTGATTTATGGAGGACCTCTGGCGAGGCCTCTCTTTTTCCTCGCACCCTCCCTTTCTCTCGGAAGGTGTAAAAACTTTACACAAGGAGCCATCGAGATATTTAAACAAGAGCTAAACATAAACGGCCAGCTCTGATCTGATGCTCACCTGTGTTGTATCACTTGCAGTTAATGTCAAGTTGTCCAGTTACACATGTGTTTGTCCACTCGTCTCAGGTGAGTGGCCCCTTCAACCACTTAGGTTTGTGATGAAAGCTCGACGCATTGTTGTGTATGTGGTTTAACTGCAGCCCCGTAGCAGCTGTATAAAGGCAGAGAGTTGAAACAGAGGTCACGCTGCTATTTTCCAGGGACAGAAGAGAGGCTGCCTCACACTAACCATCAGTGGGTGTGTCATAAATCCGCCGAAAAACTCTGCGTTTACTCACGGGGGAACAAATGCACCAGCCTGTAGGCACGCATGTGCCTTTAGTGACTTTGCTAACTGTGGAGATGGATTGAATTACATAAAAATCGATTTTAAAAACTAATCAGAAATAGTCAAATGATAAATAGTCAAAACTTGCAAACATTTTTATGTGGACGAAACAGCGGACAGCTCAGGGCGCCCTTGATTCACAACTTTATTCAAACCAACAACCATAGAAAAAATAAAATACAAATAAATAATAAATGAATAAATAAACAAAGGTGTGCCTATCTGTTGTAACTCACCCGTTATGCAGTAGTTCAGTCTTAAGGTTGGTGCAAAGCATAAACACTATGATAAGGTATGGTTGACCAAAGGTTAGGAGTAAAGTAAAAGACAAATTCACGTTTTTTTCAAGCAATAATTGATCGTTGTGTATGCCTTTAATTTCTAAACAATAGATAGATAGATAGATAGATAGATAGATAGATAGATAGATAGATAGATAGATAGATAGATAGATAGATAGATAGATAGATAGATAGATAGATAGATAGATAGATAGATAGATAGATAGATAGATAGATAGATAGATAGATAGATAGATAGATAGATAGATAGATAGATAGATAGATAGATAGATAGATAGATAGATAGATAGATAGATAGATAGATAGATAGATAGATAGATAGATAGATAGATAGATAGATACATACATACATAGATAGATAGATACATACATACATAGATACATAGATACATACATACATAGATACATAGATACATAGATCATCTATCTCTAGAGAGAGAGGAAGAGAGAGGGAGGGAGGAAGAGGGAGAGTCTGTAAAGGCACCACTACCAATGAAGTCTTCAGATCAAATAGGCTACTGTATAGGGAATGATGGCCTGGGTGAACTTACGAGGGTACTTTATGTCACCATAACACCTCAATGAGAAATATTTAATTAGCCTCGTTGCTGCATCGTTGAGGACCCCAGAAATTAAAGCTATTTCCTGCATAGAAGGTGTCACCGGGGGCCCAGACAATCACTAGACTGAATTATGGTTATGGTATTCACTTTTCATCAGCACAAGTGATCTGAATATGCGATCTAGGAGACTATAGATTCTCGATTATGTACAGGTTAAGTGATTTAATTTGTTTTATGACAATGATTTCTCTGCTGTGCCACCAGTTGCATCTGCTGCTCCACCGCTGAACCATATCATGTACGTGGCAACACACATAGGTACAGGTGCAACATTTTATATAGTTACGTGGTTAAGAGCATAAGCATTTAAATTGATTACTAAATTAACAGTTTAATACATTTTAATTTGCATAAATATATTTAGCAAATGAAAACCTGAAATTGCTTTTTTTTTTTAAACTGTGAGCAAAAATAGATGTGATAGAACAGCTTACGTAATGCATCCTGATACTAGTTTTCATTTAAGGGCTTCAATTATTGTTGAGTGCTTTAAAATTATGCAAATCAATCCCCAACAATCTCAAAAGGATAAAGTTGCAAAACGCGTTTGAAATCAATTGCGAATGCAAGTGCATGCATTTCTGACAATGTTATCCGTTTTACAAAGTTAAATACAGTGAAATGAAAACTCAAACATCTTTCCTTGAAAAAAGTCACACGTTTACTGTGGTGCCGAGATATGACTACCAAAAAAATAATACCCTGCGAATGTAAATTCTTGCAAAAAGTGTAAGAAACAGGCGATATGCGTGTCTTCTCTCAAGTTATGAAGTGCAGTTTGCAAGCTCTGGTCCTTTCATTTCACTCTGCATTGTTTACAGCAACATAGGGCACCGGGCCCATAAATCTTCTCCTTGCTCTGCCAAGACAGCGCCATTTGTATGCACCGTTTTAACCGACAGCATCCTCTGCCCATTAACGTCTTCTCCCCAGCTCTCTTTCAGTCCCCTCTTATCTGCACAGCTCTGTCCCCTGGACATGCATTAACAGATCCGTGTTTTCCTAAAGCTCTGGAAAAAAACAATTATGCTTATTTGTCTTTATTGCAAACAATATCACATCGATGCATATTTTATTGAGAAGCAAAAAAAACAAAACAAAAACAATCTGCAGTGGCCAGATTTACCTCCTGCTTGTGCGCAGCCGCAGCAGGATACGAGTCTCTCCCTTTCTCTCTTAGAACGTTATTGGTATGAAAAATAAAAGTTTATCGACAATTTTCTCGCTTGTTTGTGTCAGCGGGCGAGGGAGCAGAAGGTAAGGAGGAATTGTAAAAGGGTTGACACCCAAGAGCGACCGGCGCGCTTTTGTGTGTGAGAGAAAAATGATTTATAGCCGCTGAGGCGGTTCAAACAGAGTTCACGGAGAATTGTGGTGGAGGCGCGGAGGAGCTAAATTAATGTCTTGCTGAGCTAGTATATCATAGATTCTATCTCCAAATTCAGAGAGTGTGCGTTCAAGGGTACGAGGGAAAGAAAAACACAATGAATTTAATTACATTCCCCCTGATTTTAGCCAGTTCCGCACGTAACCTACCTAAATGATAATAATGATAATAAAAAAATGTGTGATATTGATAAAAATAATAACATACCACACATTTTTTTTACATTGGCATAACTTCGTTAACCAGAATTATTGTATTTTTGTTTATTTATTCATTTATTTATTGATGTATCTATAAATAAAGTAAATTGCATCATCCATTGATCCATTGTATAAGAAGACAGCATTATTTAAAAATTGAATGGTCACCTAACCATACTTATATTAAATTAATGTCCATATGAAGTTGATCAAACAGTGGATATTTTTCTATGCTTCAACAATAACCGAGAAATAGAATAAAATATTTAATTCTTCATTGCTTCATGCACTTTGAAGTTGCAGGTAAACCCTACTAATAGTGGCAGCAGGGGTGACGCGTAAAAAATAAAAAAAAAAGCTGGAAGGCTCCTCACCTTCCCAGCTTTGCAGTCCTTAGAGCCTAATCCATCACCTCTGAGACATCTAAAAAGGGCTTTCTAGACAGCTTTGTTGCAGTGAAACACCAGCAGGAACTTAGGCTACATTTGAAGCTTGCTTCCACTAAGATTGATACGGCCTGAAAAGGTGCAGAGGCCCTTTAGAGTTTACTGGTTTAAATTTAGCGCGAAATGTAGATCAAGCGACTTTAATCATGCACAAGATTTTGCAGATGTTTATTTTTTTGTTAAAGTTAAAAAAAAATCAAATGAGTGAGTTTTCTTTCCACTTTATAATTCCAAATTCTGCAGCTTTGAATATAGATGATTACAGCCTCAAAATATTTAATTTTGCGTCTTAAAATTGAGTTGCTAATTCAATATTTTATTCAAACACATTTGCCTTCAGTTGGTCTTTGTTGCTGCAAGCAGGCGCGCGTTATATATATGTATATCTTCAAACTGTTCTTGCCATTTAACCGCGCAGTAAAAATGATTAAAAGTAAAATAACAAAATTAAAAATGTTAGCTGCTTCACGACAACTGAAACGGAATAGTGAAGCCGGAATAATGCAAATGAGTCATCCTCCAGGAAAAGGGAAAACCTTTGATGATTGCCTCCTTTGTCTTTGTGCAGCAATGACTGTCACAAGCCTTTTGTTTGACCACTCCCATTGAATCCTAATAAGCTGCACTTGCACTCGGACAGTTAGAAGCATATGTTATGAAAAAGAAAAGCCCGCCAATTCATAAAGGGAAGTTTTCATTTTCTTCCAGATTTGAAGAAAAATCTGAAATAATTTCAACTTTAAAGACTAAAGCTCTACCCTTTGTCATCAGCATTTTTACAACACGTCGGTAAATATTTGCCACCGTGTTTGTCTGAGGGGAAAAACAGAGCAGTAATAAAATGTGGAAAATGTTAATTTATAAAAGCGCATTAAAGCAGTAAGGTATGGAATAAAAATATTCGCCTAGGCTATATAATCGCACTAATTTTGTGGAGCTGTTTATTTTTATTTAGACCTACCACACATAGCTCAGCAACAAGACCAGGCTCTCTCAGTTTTTTCCTGGAGCATATATAATAAAAACAAACCATTACGCTCGGTTTGAAATAAAAACGCTCCTCAGCACACGTGAAATCTTTGTTTGTCTCCCCTTTCTCCGATTGGACGCATTCTTCTCTTTCTTACATCTTCATGTCTTTTTTGTCCAATTATCTGATACTGTTTTATTCCCCGTTTTTTTTTTTATCCCTAGGTATAGAAAAGCCGGACTGCGTGCTGAAAATGTTTGAAGAAAAATCGCAAAAGCTTCTCGGCCACCCCAAGTTGCCAGCAGGATTAGTTTCCAACTCTAGAGCACTGTCATTGGAGGAGTGGCACACGTGACCAAAGGACCCCCCTCTGGTAAATATTATTCAAAGCGTTCTTCATGGCTTTCAGCTCCAAAGACACTATCTTGCGTGTCTTTATTCATTCAGGTTAATTGTGATGTGATATTAGACAGATACAACTCTGCTTTATTACTACTAAGGGACTTCTGAGTTTGATTTGAGCCACTTTAATTAGCTTGGGGTCCATGGACCCCCAACAGTGTGTGGCCCTCCCTACACAGCTACATGGCAACAGTTTTGAAATGAGCTCTGGACAAGTGCCAAAACCTGGCGTGGGATGGGGTGAAGAGACAAGCGGAGAAAGAGGAGAAGGAGGCCATGATTTAGGACCTGATCAACTGAACCTGACCTCTAATGATCCTTTCAGTTTCAGATTGAACCCATGTGCACTTTCTGAGCGCCCACCAGAGCCTGCAGTATACTGCCATGCCAAGGGCAAGCTGGACACTAAAAGCAGAGGATGTAGTGTCACCATCTGCCACTCAGGAGGCATTTTCCCCTGGATGAATTCAAGAGGAATTGGCTCAAAACAGTCAAGTAAGTGTTTATTTTTTCAGTTTTTTAAGGCTGCAAATATCAGGAAATTTTGACACAGTCATATATGCATATTATTTTCAATTCCTGCTATAACATTATAAATAACAGTTAAGCACCATTTAATCATTGACCTATCTTTTTTTTATAACAGTGTCTGCCACTTCCCTGAGTTTCCTCTAGACCTGTTTATTAATTGATGCTGACATCACATATTTATTTCTATAGTTCTAGAAAAAGTTATCTGTTGTCGATATAGGTCAATGCACGTTCCTCTAAATATATTATTATACCATTGCAAGGATAAGTGTGAATGCATAGCACATTACACATGAGCATATCCAACACTGCATCCAAACAGTCTTTTGCTATTAATAACAAGTAATAAAGACACACACCTTGGATATCAACTTTTACTGCCTTTCTTAGGATAACTGCCAGTGTTCTTGTACTGCAGTCAATTTAGTCAAGGCAAATTCTTTATCCGTTTTCAGAGTTGATTTATACAAAACGACCTTATAATGCATTGGTTCTTTAAACCTTAAGAAAACTCTTTTGGTTCATTCAAAGATCCAGACATCTATAAAACAGATCTGAAACATTTCAATTGTAATTTAAAATATAGTAATAATCCTAAGAAATACTGATAGATTTCCAAGTTCCTCTTGAGATTTGTTCACTGAAAAAGTAGCACCCCTGATAATAAACAACAAGAACTTTGCATATTGATATTTTCACAATGTTTGTGATTTAGTATATTGTTCGGCCCCAAGATCTTCCCTTTGTGAAATTTTGTACTGTGTAAACAAAAAACTTTCCCTTAGGTCTTCTGTGCCGAGTATGTAATTAATTCCTTTTTATGTGCATTTTGGGTATTTTGCTCTTTGTGTAAAAAATGCTTAGTAGTGAATTAAAATGATTATATTTGATGTTTTTCAACATATTAACACATAACCTGTTGTATTCTGCTTGCACAAACCTTTCCATGCAAAGATAAAAGATGATGCAAAGGTGAATGGTATTTCTAATTGCTTTTAAAACCATTACAAAGTTTTTTATTTTCTAAATAACAGATTTGATTCCATGTATATAATTGGATTTTTTCTGACTTTATGACTGGATAGTGTTGTAATTGATTACAGTGATCTGAAGCTAAGTGCAATTGAATGGATTACATAATAACTGAGGTGGACTTTGATTAAACTGGATTGATTTGATCTCACTTTGCCTTGCAAAATGCCTCAAAATAAGTTCTGTTATGTTTAACTAAATCAAACTTGAATTTGGATTAATATAGACGCTATATAACTGGATATAAATTTGACCTGTTTCTTAGGTGAAGTTTTTGTGTGTTTTAAGAGTTGTTTTTATACAAATTAGCAAAAAAAAAAAGAAGATATTTACTAAATGAATAAAACAGTTTGATAATTAACAAGGAAATAGTCAGCCAAGTTAAAGATGGCCCCATCCTCTCTCTAATGCTCTTACTATAGGTCTTATTAAACATCCATTAACCTCTCGGTGTCATATTGTTATCAACAGGGCCCTGGTATTGTTCATATACATGTCAAACTGAATCCCTAATGGCGGCTATTTTCAGTAGTGCTCCCGAGGTACCTTTTAAGTGACTGAGATGGGGATTTGACAGTTCTGCTTCCGTGTGGAGCTCTGATTAATGTGGCCTGTCAGGCAGCCGTAGTGGCGTCAGATGTTTTCCCCAGACTGCCTCTTCGGCAGGGAACTTTCCCTGAGCACATGACACACTAGACAGCCAGTCTTGTTTAGAAGTCTGGAGCATGACTGAGTAGGAACTAAGGGCTCCTCTTGGTCTCCGGTTGATTAGCTGAGGATAGAGGTGGGTCTGGCTGGCACCTGAAGGCCCCAAGATGGTGATGTTACATGCATTGAACTTCTTATAAAACCATTTGCTGCTTTCCTGTGCTTGTTCCCAGGTTCAGCCAAGGGTGGTGTTGCAGCTGGTCCTGTAAGCAGAGGGCCTAGGAGAGAAAGGACATCCTTCACTAACAGCCAGCTGCTGGAGCTAGAGAAGGAGTTCCATTTCAATCCTTACCTACGACGCCACCGGAGGCAGGAGATGGCTGCTGGGTTGCAGCTCACCGACCGCCAGGTCAAGATCTGGTTTCAGAACCGCAGGATGAAGCTTAAGAAGGAGCATAAGTATGGAAGAGCAAGGGGTTCGTCCCAGGATCCCCTTTGCAGCAAGCAAATGCGGCTCCCAACAGCTATCAGAACTCCCTTCTCCCCTTCATTGGAAGTAACCTCCATGGATCCCGCTATGTTCTCTCTATTTGACACTGCCCACCCATCCTGTCTCAACTACATGCTTCCATCTGTTTTGAATACCCACTCCATTTCATGCGCAGATACAGAAGGTCATCAGCAAGTCAGCATTTTAAACCGGCTCTGAGGGTCTATAAAGGCTACCATCTCAGGCATTGACCTTCACCTATTTATAAAAGACCGGAGGATGTATGAACAGCATCCCTGGGAAGGTAATCCACTTAATACATCCGTTCATGAAACAATTTATTTAAACTACATAAGCATATCTTAATTAAAGGAGATCTGCAGCAATATTCTCTGTGTTAATAGGCTAAGAAAAAGAAGGCTGAAGGTTTTTCGAATTTGTGGTGGAAGGAGACTTTATTGTAATAAATGGTAATGTGCAGCACATTGCAAAAGTATCAGTATGGCTGGAATTGTTCTCACATCTCTCACTAACCATGAATTGATATTTAATTGATCAAGATTTTCTGTCAAATACTAGTAGAAAGTAATGTTGAATTGTGTGCTTAAAGGGAAAGGATACTTAGATTTTTAAACAAACAAACAAAAAAATTTGAATGTATTTACATTTGTCTTTAAAATTCATATCATTAGTAAGTAGAGTCTGTGTGTTAGTTAATCTGTGAGGGTTTTTAGAAAACATCAGTGAGCAAATGGCATCATACAAACCATAGACAACATCAGAGAGATCAGAAATAAGAGTATGGAAAAACATATCATACATTTAAACAATATCCCTAGGTTTTAAAATCCCTTTTAGCACTGTTTATTACATCATCTCGAAAAAAAAAAAAAAAAAAAAAAAACATATCATATATACAAACCTTTCAAGACATGGGCATTTGTCTACATTTACAAATTTGGCAAGGAGATCAATAATTGGGAGATTTAGAGTCGGGAAATTCTGTCAACATGATAACTATAAGGTCCAAAAATCTACCCATTGTGGAAGAATAATAATAAGAAAGGAGCTGTTAAACTAAATCCAGAAGAAATTATACTTTAGGTTTTACACAACACCTTAATCACCAGCCACAAAATACGGTAATGGCAGCATCATGCATTGGCAAGCCTGTCAGAGTAGATGGGGAGATAGATGAAGTTAAGCATCTTGTGACTTCAGCAGAAATGGTGCTTGAGGTCACAAGCCTTGATACTGTGGAGGATGACCACCCTCGGCATGCTCCAGAATAATAGACTGTACAACTCAAAGCCATGTATTAATAAGTACCAGGCCGACCTTACATTCACCCAGAGAACTGTTGCAAGAAAGAAAACTGGAAATCGTAGACACTTGAACATGAGCTGCATTTGAATGGGGGGAATAAACAAACATTTCAGATAAAAGTGAGTCTGCGTAAATATTAACTCAGAGTTGCTTAAATACTAATGCATTTGAAATCTTTCAGCTTTATGTTTCTAAAACATTAGCATATTATGCATTTTTTTCCTTGTTACTTCTATGTGAAACTTCTTTTCTTTAGTCTGGTCTGTCACATAAAAGTATCATTGACAAAATGTACAATGGTGTTATACTTTTGCAAAGCCCTGCAGCTGCAAAAAGTAAATAGTGCATATTTTTAATATTTTTGCATGAAGGAGATTTTGATCACCTAATGAATGTTTCTTTATGTGTTGTTTTTTTACTGCAACATTGTTGTTTGAATATCATTAAGTGGTGGGCTTGTAGTTGTTTGTTTATGTAAAGTGTTCAAATGTGAAATGAGGAAAGTATTGTTTAAGTTTAATTATATTTTTATCTTTGTGAAGGTTGTTATACATGCAGTGAGTGTCCCCTATTATTTTTGATGAATGTTTTCATGCTAAACAGGCTTAATAAACACATTTATAAAAATGTAATCATGTGCAGTGTTTACCTTGTTCATTTCTGAAGCGAATGACTTTTTTAACCGTATTTCCTAATTATGGATTCCTTTGCCAAATGAAAAAAATGAGATGGATTATGCATTTAAATTAAACAGGGCTTTGGATTCATTGAAAACTTTACAGTGTTGTGTATTCACATTGCACAATCCTACCTCTCTGCCGCTCCGCTGCCTCAGAGTTTCCCCCTCCATTAATCAAAGAGACAAGGCAGTTTTTCCAGCGCTCCAACCTCAAGCTCTGAACCCACTGGGCACCATGACAAGATCTCCTCCTGCCTCCCCCCCAACCCCCAGCCCTCGCCTCTTTCTGTAGCCAAATTTTAGCTCTGCAAGTCAGGACTGGCCTTGCTCTCAGGGGGCATGTTTAGTCATGTACTGTGGAAGCCATTCCAACTCGCCACGGGGCCATGACAGACCAACACTCCCCAATCACCAATGACAGCATATTATCTCAAAGAGCATTGCTATTTGCTGGCATCTGTACTTCCAGTTTACATTTGAGACTTCCTTAAGGAGTCTCAAATGTAAACTGGGTTATCAAAATATTTTTTTTGTTTTTATCAGCAAATTCCAAAGAGATAAGAAGGTTTTTATTTGTAAAAAGTGGGTCACTTGAGCTCAGGAGTTTCCATGATTTCATATGTCATAGATAATAACAACACCCGATGAAGGAGCTAACCTTCTTTAACAGTTGATAATTTGAGCCTGAGCATAGATTTTGTAAACAAAACTGCGCACAAATTGTGGGCATGCTGACAGTTTTATATCAGTGGCCTTACAGTGAATGAGCTGTCATGGAGGCCAAATGACAGCTCCTAAACCCAGAGCTGTAAAGCTGATTCCCCCGGCCCCCACCCTCCACCCCCTCTAATAACTCGCTACTCTCAATTCATTGTCAGTCCCAGGATCAGCTTTCATTTAGTAAGTCTTTGCTTATGTTTGGGGAGTTAAATGTGAGCTAAAACTAAGCGAATGTTTTAGTAAAAAAAAAAAAGAAACTCTGCATCAAAAGGTGATGACGACAGGAAAGCAATAAAAGCCATATAGGAAAGAAAGTTGTGTTGTAGAAATGCGCTCACTTAACTAAAAGGGAGAAAAAGAAGGAATCATGAGGAATGCAGAGCAGACTGTGCTAGATTCCTAAAATTCTTGAATACACCAGATGATTTATGATTCTAATGCTTGCTGAGGCTCAAACAGACCTTTACCTCCTTTCCTTAACACATTCCGTTTCCAGACACTAAGAGCCAGGAGGATCCACACACTGGTGTGCAGTAATTCCATGGATGGGGTCAAGGGGGATCCCCTGAGGTCAAGGAAAGCCTCCACTCAAGGGCCCCAGAGCGAAGGGGGACACTCTATGTCCATCTGAACATTAGGTTAGCTGGTTGTTCTCACATTAGCATCTAAAGTCATTATTTCCCACTTACTCACTGGACTCTGTTAACTGCTTGACTTGGCATCTGTTCCCAAAGGCAGATATCTAAGCCAAAGATCCCTACATGCTCTTTTGAAGATTTCTTGGCTTTTGCAATAAAATGCATGCATAAAAGCGATAAATCATGCCTGTAGAATATTGCCATGAAACCCGCTTTGGTAATGGTCCATCATTAATATGAAAAGATTTTTTGTCCTGTTCAGTCGCTAATGCTTTACTGCCTTATCCAAAGATGTTGTGAAATTGATTTGTTTCTGTACATGAGAAAGATTTTGTGTATCAGACTTCTGTCCAAGCTTGCATGAAAACAAAAGTATGAAAAATATGAAAGAACGTATTTCGATCAGTGAATTGAGGCTGATAGTAGTCTAAATCCATCTAAGCACCAGTGAACAGTTTAACCAGTATTGTCTCATAATAATATTGCATGAATACATTGATTTATAGTAGTGATGTGTTTCCAGCCCCTCCTCAAAACAGGGTTGTTGTCTTTTTGGTGTTCTGTTTATTTCTGCCATTAATGTTTGGATACAATAAAAACTTAAAGACTTTAAATAGAATTCCCACAAAATATGGATGTTTCCTTTCAGTGTTTTATTTACCAATTTATTATTATTATTTTTTATGTTACAAATCACAATTCAAATGCAGTAATTTACATAACCCATCGAAATGACAGGCTCACTTCTCAGTTAAGCTGGATGTATGTCGTCCACCACATACCGCTTCAATAATCATTTGAAAGTAGGTCTTCTACAGGTTTTCCTTTTTAAAGTTATCCAAAAATAAGATTTAAAAGCACAACATGTGGTGAAAAAAGTTGAACCAAATATTTGTAGCATTTATTAAATATTTATAAGGACAGTTAAAATTATGCACTAAAATTGAAAAAAAAAAAAAAAATAACTGATCCAGACACTGAAGTAACTGTTCCAGTTCAGATATAGTGGTTAAATGGGATGCTAAGCCACAAAAATACAAACCAGGTAAAAAAAACAACAACATCTGTAGAAAAAAATACAGATGCGCACTATATCCATATGAATGTCTTTATCTGTTTCTAAAGTATATAAAATAGCATGTCTACAAATTAAAAAACACATTCTATTTTAATGCAGAAATGAAACATCAAAACTTAGAAACAGAGCTGGAAAAAATATGCCAAAACATTTTTGCACCACTAAATTGGAGGTATGGCCTGGCGTCCATCCTTATAAACTTGACAGGCTCCACTGTCATACATGCATATTTTTTATGAGTGAACTGAAAAAAAAGGAATTTAAACAGACCTTTATGAATTGCAGCAAAAAGTTTCCTCTTTTGTTTATTATTTATTTTTTTCTCTGTTTATTATTGTTCCCCTTTTGAATGTCTGATAATTACCTTAACTGAAATCCTACAAGTATGAAATAGTAAAAGTTGTAGAATTTTAAAATTATGGTCACTAAAGGCTGATTTTTACTCAGAAAGCAGACCGTCTGCGTGTGTGTCACAGTAAATGCAAATGTGCCTCTGCCTATGCTGCACCTCTCCAAAACTGTACGTAATCGTAGACAGTGCCGCAGACAAGAGACCTCTGATTGGTCAAATCTACATCCGCTCTACACTATGCGTATTTCCTGTTTGTTACATCACCGGCTTGTTTTATTTGTATGACCCCCATTGCGGAAAATTACTTGTAACGTTGGAGCAGCTAGACGAGGGAGGTGGATCTACGCTCTTTTTTGCCCTCATTTCCCTCCTTTGTCGCACAAACTTGCCCCCACTTCCTCACTTCCTTGGCCGTACCTAAACCCACAGCTAGTTCGTGATTGTTCCTCTTGCGTTGTGGCGTGGAATAAACATAGCACAGACCACGCTTCAATATTGGGCATAAGTCAAAAATATCTGGGACAAGCTCACTGCGACACACTGCTGCGGGGAGTATAACCAGCCCTTACATTTTCTGGGTGTTATACTCTAACACTGTAGGTATACTTCTAATACAGAAACTTGAATACATTGGTTTTCTGAGTTAATAAAAAATATAAGGCAGAGTTAGTCCATTATCTTTATACTTGCACCTGTGTTACAAGGGTTTGATGCCATTTTCTAGTGGCTATTGAGCAAAAAGTGAAATACATCCTTAATAAGTAGGTAGTCAAAGATGGAAACAGAGACATACATGACAAATATCCATCCGCATGCACCTATAGCATAACCAATGGACCTATGTTCCATAGATACATGGATAGAACTTACACATGGATTTGGAGAGCCTGCATGCAGAAACACTTCAGGGTGCAATGTATTGTGCTGTTGGTAGCGGTTGAAAGAAGCCTTTCTGTATAACTGTGTTGACTCAATTCTAGTACACACACTAAAGAATAATTCATAAAAAGGTTTTTAGAATTGCTTTGCAACACATAAAAATATTTACTGAAGGTGAATTGCTTTTTTGCTACCTTTCATGTTTGCCAAACTGCAAATATGCATTTTTAAGACAAAAAAAAAAAAACAAAACACCTCAATAAAACTTGCTGCCTCAATCAGGCCTGCAAAAGAACTTTACTCAAAACATCATGCCCTCAAATAAGATATTCTTCTTTTATTTGAGACACAAGAGAAAGTCTGTACTCATTTTTTATCAATAAAAATAAAAACAAGAAAAAGACCTTCAAAGATTTTACATCCAAGCTCCATCTATTTCTGCTTTATGATTTTATTTAATTTTACTCTTATAAAGAACTAATACATGAAATAATTTGAAAAGTCCTGAAGTATTCCTAACTTGACAGTAAGCCTGTTTGTTAAAACAAAAGTCACACAATCAAATATAAGCAAATAAGGTTGCAATACTGATTTGATTATTTCAAATCACATAATGGCCTTTCTTAAAAGTAATCAAAACTGATTATTATTTTTTTGTCCATAGAGGAAGGAAACCCAAAACTTTAATGTGGTCCCTTAAGGAGACTTTGTTCTTTTTATGACCTGTTAACCTTCTCAGTCTTTTCCTTCCACAGCAGTTACTGGTGCCCACCACTCTGGCAGGATGCTTGTTGCTCAAGATGATTGTTAAGTACCAATTTCCCATGTCACCTTTATGGCTTTTATTTATTTGTCTGCTCCTTCGTGTGGAACAGGAGCTCGGGCATCGCTCAGGTAGATGGATGATAACTCATGTGCTACGACTCATCCGTCTCAGAAATTTGACTTCCTGAATCTCTTACAACTGTTAATGTCATATTATAGCTCTGCATTATCAAGATCAACGGCTTTTTAAATGCTTCCCAGTTAAGGATGATCTGTGACAATAAAAAGATAAGTTGGTGATGAAGGTGTCACAGCTGTTAGTGGATCTGAGCTGTGCAGCAGGGAGAAAGTCGAATGCAGAAGAGAAGTTTCCTCTGTGAAGTGCTAGCCACTCAGCTAAATGTCACATTTTCAGTGGTATTGAACACCCAGGAAACATTCAAATCCCAACGGCTTCATTAGGTTCTGATCAATATTCACTTTCGTTTGGTTTAAAGTGATATAAACATAAAGGGCATACT